GGGCATGCATTCACATTTGTTTTGTTTTTTTCAAACTGAAAACTTTGGCTGCCTTTTTTTGCACTAAGGACCCCTTTCAAGATTTAACAGTAGCGTGTTATGGATCTGTATAACTGTGTTAAGAATTTGGTGGCATAGTTTCATTTTTCAAATCCTTTCCTAAGGAAGTTTAGCGGAATTCATCTTTTGCACACCATCAATGTTGCAGTTACATCTTAAATGGACTCCAGAAGATGGTAAGGGACAGGAAGACCTGGAGGAACGTTGTCCATGGGGTCGCGATGGGTCAGACACAACTTCGCAACTAACAACAAAAGAATCTTTTTCCTGCCCAATCATGGACATCCTAGAGCTATCGCTGTTTAAGTGAAGTTTGGGATTTGGGGACAAGGATATGTTGCTCTATATTAATATCCTTAATCACCGTAAATTGCAATTGCCAGTTACTCTCCATCACAGATTAGTAAGACTCGTTTGAACCTTTTCGCGATTCCTATTAGTTACACTTAGTTAAGAAATGGGCCCTCAAACAAATTTTCAGCTACTCTTAAAGAGTTTCTGATTTTATCCGCAAACTTTTCCGCTGTCAATCCTAAAAATAGCGCTGTTTGGGGAACCGTGCTGGTGCCAAGGTGCCCATTAGCACGGAAGCTTTTAGCCCTTCATAGAGATTCGCATTAAGCCTCTCTCGTCCCTTGCTTTCCATCGGGACAGGATCCGTTGAAGCCAGCAGAGAGCAGTGTGAGGCCGCACAGAGGAGCAAAACCTATTCCGCTTCCGGAGAATTTGCACGGGCGGCGTTTCTTCGCGCGCCTTCCGCGGGGAAGGGAATTCTCGCGCGAGGCTCGCCGCCCTTCTTCTGACGTCACACTGCTTGCAGCTGGTAAGAATAGATCGAAATAGATCGAATAGGGCGAAAGGAGATTCGCTTGAGGGCAGCCGCGATCCCAAACACGAGGCTTTCTAGGAACAAGGAGGCGCTGAGGGACGTGTGGGTCAGTGCAAGCGAGCCCGTTGGCGGACAAATGGGGAGGTTGGAAGAAACAGAGCGGCTTGAAATAACTTTCCACCCATCCTGCATCCCGAGGAACAGTTTCCTCCAGACTGATGCCGTCAAAATGCACTGGATTTATATTGTTTAATCACCCAGCTGGGGAAATCTGCCTTAGATGTTACAAAAAAAATCCTTTAGCGATCTGGAGATAGGGCCCTCCAGTCAGTGCGCTCTGCCTGAAAGCTAAATTATACTGTTAAGTGTTTTAGGGACGAGGTGATAGAGCAATGTGTAACGCGGTGAAGTAAAAGATCTGGCGAATGCATTTGCCCGATTTGTTAAACTTTATTGTATGAACCACGGTTACTTCACAGTTAGGTGTTAGTGGCACCCAGCTGACTGGGGCTGATGTCTGAATGGGTAGGGAACTCTTAGGGAATTCCCAGACTAGTTGGCTAGATGTGAAAGTTGGAAAACGAAGAAAGTGAAGTTCACTGTCACAGCATTGTCAAGACAGTTGTGTGGAAGAGATCACCAGGGGTCAGGTTTGATTGGAGGAGATTTATTGTACCAACCCAATCCATTTGTTTAATTCATTTTGTATTTTGTAAACCCAGAAAATGGGTTAATTCAATAACCAAGTTAGTAAGTTGTGTCAACATAGCCACTAAGTCCCATGCATGCTGTTGATGCCACATTCGGATGACTTGGCAGAATGGGGTTAAGCCCAACTGGGAAGCTTTATCCTAGGTCTAGGAAAAGGAGTAAATATGTACAACTCTGCTCATAAGGCAGCCCGCTTTTGAAGTTGGTAGAGCCTCAATGAGTCCTCGACTTATGACTATTCATTTAATGATAGTTTGAAATTACAATGGCACCAAAAAAGTGACTTACAATCAGTCTTCACACTCACAGTGTATGACAGGTTGTAGTGCCCTGGGGTCATGCAATTGCCATTTCTGACCCTCCCAGCCAGCTTCCAACAAGCAAAATCAATGCGGGAGGCTGAAGCCACTTAACGACGATGTGATTCACTTAACAACTGCAGTAATTCATTTAACAGTGGCAAAAAGGGTCATAAAATAAGGTGTGACTTGTTTAACAACTGTCTTGCCTAGCAATAGAAATGCTGATTTCAATTACAGATAGTCCTTGACTCACAACAGTTCGTTTAGTGAATGTTCAAAGTTACAATGGCACAGAAAAAAGCGACTTATGACTATTTTTCACACTTGTGGCAGCATCTCCATAGTCCAGGGGTCTTCAAACTTGACCCTTTTATGACTTGTGGACTTCAACTCCCAGAATTCCTCACCCAGGCACGCTGGCTGCATCTCCATAGTCCAGGGGTCTTCAAACTTGGCCCTTTTATGACTTGTGGACTTCAACTCCCAGAATTCCTCACCCAGGCACGCTGGCTGAGGAATTCTGGGAGTTGAAGTCCACAAGTCATAAAAGGGCCAAGGTTGAAGACCCCTGCCATAGTCCCTTGATTTACGTTTGGATGCTTGACAACTGATTCATATTTATGACGGTTGTAGTGTCCTGGGTCATGCGATCACCTTTTGCGATCTTCTGACAAGCAAAGTCAATGGGGAAGCCAGATTCACTTAACAGCCGTGTTACTAATTTAACAACTTCAGTGATTCTCTTAACAAATGTGGCAAGAAAAGTCATAAAATGGGGCAAAACTCACTTAACAAATTTCTCACTTAACAACATAAATTTTGGGCTCAGTTGTGATCATAAGTTGAGGACTACTTTAATAATCAATAGAGGACAACTGTAAGGGTATCCTTAGCAGAGGGGCTTGCTTTTCCCTCCACACAGAATTAGGGGTAGAGAAGATTGATCCACCAAAAAGCATACAGACAAAAGTTAATACATGCATATTTACATATATGGGCTGCACTTATACAAACATAAAAGAGATGACAAGTCCCACAAAAGATATGGGGTTGATTAATTTGTTATAACGTGGATGTTAGAATGATTCTAACTTCCTTTAAATTCTTTGTTGGAATGCTTGCCCGTGATTAAAAAAAAAAACCCTAAATTATCCCCACATTTCTCTACTGTGCTTGCTTTATACTAGGACAGAAATCTTACTCTGAAGAGTCTTCAGAAATTGTGATTCTCCCACTATTTATTCTGCATTCAGAATTGCAGGACAGAATTCTATAAACCAGTCCCACGTACTTTTCACAACCGGCATGTAAGGTAGGTAGGTCTCTAATTAGGACTACCAATACAATTATGCATTAGTTAATACAGTATTCTTTATTACAACCATGATATGCCCCCATATGCATTAAAAACATTTCTTCCAATTCCCCTAGAAAATTGTCATTCTAGATGATTCTACAAAAACACCTGCTAAATAGGATGATGAGCATATTTTATATTCAGAAGCTTATTATTATTATTATTATTATTATTATTATTATTATTATTATTATTATTATTATTATTATTATTATTATTATTATTATTATTTGCAAGATCCCAAGAATGAGGGAGACTAGATCTCACGGTGATTTCCCCTTTTCTTTTTTTTTCCACTTCAAATCTCTTTTTCAGATGGCCAAAAGCCTTAGAGATCCATCTGAAAAACAATTCTATTTTTGTACGGTCACAAGTGGTGGGGCTGAGGAGACTCATATGTGTTACAGCTGGAGTTGAAGCAGATAATTTTGCACCGTAACTCTAGCATCAAGTCTCTGCTCTGGAGGATCCATGGATCTAGAAACAAATGTTAGGAAATATATAGTGGCACATCTGGGAGACTTTGTTTCTGTAGGATTGTCACCAATCGAATTTAGCTCTATGGAGGGTAGACAGTGTTGAGATGTAGGTCAGGGGTTCTCCCTCTGGTTGTTTGCTTTTCATTTAGTATAAGATTTTGTTTTTGATCACTTTAAATCTACTCTTAATTCTAGGCAGTTGAGTGAGAGAAAGGTGACAGAACTATGCTAGTAATAGGTTTATAGCAGGGGTGTCAAACTGCCGGCCCACGGGCCGGACGCGTCATCGCAAAACCGTGCCCACCCCATTGCCGGCAATGGCAAAAAAGTTCCGATACGTAGCACGACGTCACATGACATCGCGAGTTTGACATGTCTGGTTTATAGAAAAAAAATGGAGAGGTTAAAGAGAGAGTAATGTTAAGATGTGACCTGGATGTTGAACAGTAAAATCCAAGATTGGTATCTGGAAATTAAATTTCCTGAAATATATCCCTATAGTCATTAGAAGTTAAGCTTGCTTCAAAGAAAATGTTAATCTATATCTCTACACCGGCTTATTCACAATTGGGTAGAGCAGAGGTAATCGTAGCCTAATACAAACTATATATTTTGGACGTAATTCCCTCAGTCCCTTGTTCTTGACCTTGCTGGATGAAGCTGACAGGACTAAATCTGATTGCCTGAATATGGGAACTAAGGGAATGTGGCAATGTATTTCAAACTAAATTGACTTTCTGAATCTTTGCCAATAAAGTCCTTTATCTGAATTCTCTATCTTGGCAGGAGATCACAGAGGAAGGCATATTTTCATCTTCTGCCTTTCTGGCAATGTCTAAAGGAGCGAGAGAAGATTTAATGACCTTGAATGAAAGCTAATCAAAGAAAGAAATACTTTGGTCATTCTAGCCAAAAACATCATCTTATTATTCTTTGGAAAACAAAGCCATATTTTACTGATCCTTTTTTTTTTAATTTCACGCAACCCTTCTGCAAACACTTAATTTTTGTTCCACTTTTTTTAAAAAAAAAATCCAATGTAGAGGGGAGTGGCTTTTTAGCCATTTTTGGTACTTAGAATTACTTAACGATTGGTGAAGAAATTCACAAGGGATCCCCCAATGGGAGAAAAACGCTTGAGGTGCCCCAATCTTGGGGAAAACCTTTTGGGCAAGTCAGATCATTCTGAACCTCAGCAAGTCAGCACCACAGATAAGCTGTATAAATGCCTGGAATGTGGGAAATGTTTCACTCACAGTAAGAACTTCAGCACCCATCAAAGGATCCACACCGGCGAAAAACCTTACAAATGCCCTGAATGCGGCAAAAGGTACGGGGCCAGCTCAACTCTGAGTAGACATCGGAAAATCCACATGGAAGAAAAGCCTTACAAATGCCCAGACTGCGACAAAAGTTTCAGTTACAAAGCAGATCTCATCAAGCATCACCGTGTTCACACGGGGGAGAAACCTTATGTGTGTGCCGAGTGTGGGAAAAGTTTTAGTCAAAGCTCCAATTTTGTTACTCACCAGAGAAGCCACACGGGGGAGAAACCTTATGAATGTCCTGACTGCGGAAAAAGTTTTACTGTGAGCTCGAGCCTTATCGAGCACCAGCGGGTCCACACAGCTGAAAAGCCCTTCTTGTGCCTGGAGTGTGGGAAAAGTTTTAATCGCAGCTCCCATCTCAGTGTGCACCAGAGGATTCACACAGGGGAAAGGCCTTTTCAGTGCCCCGATTGTGGGAAAGGCTTCACCATTCTCTCCACTCTCAGTAAACACCAGAGAATCCACACAGGAGAGAAACCTTATAAATGCCCCAAATGTGAGCGGAGTTTTCGGGTGAGCTCCATCCTGACTCAACATATTAGGACCCACACGGGAGAGAAGCCGTATGTTTGCTCCGAGTGTGGGAGGAGCTTCAGTCAAAAATCGCCTCTTATTGCTCACCAGAAGCTTCACGGTCGTCAGAAAACCCGATAGGTGAGGGTGAGTCAAGGACTGGACCAGGTTTTGAGTGACCGTGCTACAGAAAAGGAAGGCTGGGAGAGCTGACCAGTTTTATGGAATGAAATTGGTAACTTAAGCCACTGTAGGCCTTAAGGTTTCCATTTTGCCTCTTCATCTCCCGAACCCCCAGAGCATTCAGAACAGAGGAAGGTAGGATTGGCCCCATCTCATCACAAAAATAGTTCTCGTGGTCTGATGTAGCCCATGGCTGTACTTTTTGCCTGCAACCCAGTAACCTGCGGGCCAAATTAATCCTTAAAGACAGGGGTAGTCAACCTTGACTCTTTTATGACTCGTGGACTTCAATTCCCAGAATTCCTTAGCCAGCTTAGCTGGCTCAGGAATTCTGGGAATTGAAGTCCACGAGTCATAAAAGAGCCAAGGTTGACTACCCCGGCTTAAAGACAAGAGTGAGAAGGATTGAAGGCAACAAAATTGCTCATCCAACTCCTACTGGGCTCTAACCTTCATGGGGCGGGGGGAGGGGAGAGGGAGAAGGAGAGAAAAGAAGTTGTGGTTCTTAAATTTCCTTAACTTTCCCTTTGGTGATGGCCTCTTGCCGAACCCATGGGAGACAGGGGATGGATGTTAACTCTGCAGCCAGTGTGCATCTCCCTTGTGTTTCTGAGAATGGAAGATCCTCCACCATCTCCAGACATGTATAGAGCTACAGAGGCCCCAAAGGTTTCTCCAGAGGGTGGAAAGTATCGCCTGGCATTAGATTTCCTCCTCTGAAGGTCAACGTACTTTTCTGCTCTTGGAGGTGGTCAGAATTACAACTGGGCCACCTGGAATCCTCTCTCATTGAACTCCAGAACTTCAAGCTAAGGAATGGTTGATTGTGGTAATAACAGTTTGGGAAATGGAAAATTGTAATCTGCTTTTCTTTTTGTCCTACAGAGAAGTGTTGCTTGGCTAAAAATGGCGTCCTTTCTTATTGTTTTAAAGCACATTTACGATCCAGCTGCTGTGTTCTTGACTGAGTCCTTGGGATATTAGAAATCCAAATCCATTATGCCATGACAACCCGTGATGAGTAGGATAGGAAGTAGGAAAAATACACTGTACATAGATTCTGATACTAATAAACATTTTTTTTTTTTTAAAGTTGTCTTCTAGACCAGACATGTCAAACACAAGGCCCGGGGGCCGGATGCACCCCGCGAAGTGATTTCATGTGGCCCGCGAAGCCATCCTGGAAACAGTGAGGGAACGGTCCCCGCTGCCTTGGCCTTGGCCCAGGCCAGCCAGGAGCCAATGTACAATTTTGTGGTGGCCATCTTGGCACTTGCCCCAGTCCCACCCCCTTCTGTCAGAGACCCTCAGATCTATCCCACTCCTGCCCAGGCCCCCACAGGCACCCTTGATGCGAATGATGTAGAATTGGCCACGCCCACCCAGTAGGCCACACCCACCCCATCCACGCCCACCCAGTAGGCTGCACCCACTCTGGCCACACCCACCCGGCTCCCCAAGGACAATCGCAATGCTGATGCGGCCCTCAGTGAAATTGAGTTTGACACCCCTGTTCTAGACCAACTCAGAAATTAATTAGTGCCTTTACTGGATAGTTTGTCTAGCAAGATCTATCCCTTTCTCCTTCTCCTCATTCCCGCTTCCGTTTGTCTCCTCCTTTCCTAATTCTCTTTCATTGGACAGCAAGTAGTTCTTGCCATACTGTGTTGGATCCTACTCTAAGATTTTCCAGCTTGGTACTCTCAGGTATTTTAGGATACAACTCCCATCATGCAAGGTTGGGAAGGCAGAATGGGAGTCATAATACAATTTATTTGAAAGAGATCAGGCAAGGAAAAATTTAAATTTAAATGGGTTCACAGATCATTTCTACATCAAACAGGTGTGGCCAATTAAGCATGTGTGAATATATATGTACATATAGAAGTACAGGTCCTTTACAAAGTCTTTGGAAAAGCATTCACGGAGATAGAACACATTTTAAACAGATTTATTTATAACTGATGAAAGTATCACAGTTTTCAAGAATGTAGAATGAAAATGTCCCAAGTATATAAATTAGTACAAAATTTGTCAGATTCCAAAGTGGTAATTGTGTTGTCATAAAGAGAAGATTACATGGCATACAATTGCTCTTAAAGAGCAACACATCAAAACTAGCATAGGCTTCTGTGGAATACAATTCACTTTGTAGGATAATTACAGAAAGGTAAACAGTAGAATCCAAATACTTCGGATTGCCTTCACTTCCAGTCTTTAATCTGTCTTTATGTGGATTTGACTTCCAGCTTGTCAATATGAAGGTGCGCTTGCTATGCCCTGATGTTCTCTGGAATAAGAGAAAATAGTTAAATACGATCATACAGTTGAGCATTTATCAGCCCTTACTGAGCTGTCTAGTCCTGCCAAAAGCATGTGAATTATTTCAGCCACATATAGGCCTCAGCTTATGACTGGTTGCTTATCAACTGAAGTTATGACCAGCCCAGAAAAGGGGACTTATGATCCAGTTTCAAAGTTATGACAGTTGTTCCTGTGAAAACTTGATGAGGGTAGAGGGGGCTGAATATGGGAAGAGTTGGGGAAGAGGAGAAGGGCAACATTCAGCCCCATTGATGTCTCTTTTGTTTTTGCTCATGAAGCACAATCAAGGACAGGTTGGCTGTTGTGAAATAAGGCCGCTGCCGCCCTGCGTGGTCCTAACTTGGATATTATTGGACATCAGAGAGCCTCTCCCATACTCAGTGTGTTTCCTGGACATTACAGTTCCTTATCAGAAAAATATAGGGTGATCATAGAGGTTCTATATAACTATTCCACCCTCCAAATTTGATCTCTTACATTTGTAATCCTGTTTCCTCACCAATACTTTAATTTTTTTCCTCGACATTTAAATTCACTCTTTTTGGGGAGGTGGGGAAAATAATATAATTAGTATTAACATGATTACTGTAATGACTATGAAACACCATTAATTCATTTTAGGCCCATATTAATATTTCTTTTTAACTTCATTTTTAAACTTTGTATATTGTATTGATTGTTTTGTTTTAAACTGGCTGTAAGCCACCCTGAGTCCACCAGGAGAAGGGCGGGGTATAAATGTAATAAATAAATAAAAATAAATAAATAAATAGTCTTTGTATGATGATAGTGGATATTTATATTGCGCTGAAAACTTCAGTGGACTATAAAAATCCAAAATTAAAAGTACAGAGTCATCTTATAAGGGGGATGGTTGGCATAACAAATAAAAATGTAAAAAAATAATAAAAAGAATTATCAGTTGAATCTGAAGACTGTATACAAAAATCAAGGCAGGTCTAACTATGATGCAAGAGTAGAACATCAAACAGATAAATGCTTCTCGCAGTCAAAAGAATACAAATAAACTAGACCTTTATTAAACCTGAAAGGATGCCCAGAGGAAAAGAAGGTTAATGCCTCGAAGAGTCTTTTGGTTTTATTTTATTTTTTAAATACACGCATAAATAAATAAATAAATAAATAAATAAATAAATAAATAATTCCCTTGGTACGTTTGGGGGTTGTTTTTCGTTTTAATAATATAATATTCTATTCTGGCAAAGTCCTGCAAACGGGCATGAGTACACGCTTCCACTTCTTGCTCAGTCCGCGCCTCCCGGCTCTCCATCGGGCCCTCGCCGATCTCTTCGGTCGCAGATCTACCACGAGAGGGATTTCGATCTGCGGGACCTCAGCTTCAGCGGGACTTTCGGCAGTCTCTCTCTCTCTCTCTGCCTTTAACGCGGCAAAGGGGCTTTCGGCCGTTCGCTTGTTTTCCTCGTCAACCTAATCTTGCTCTCCCCGTGGCCAAAGCGAACAAAAATAAATAAAACATTCCGGTGTTGAAAATTGTGTTGGCCGCCAGAGGCCTCTCGATTTCAGCTAGGAAAAGCAAGAGGAAGTCGCTCCCCTCTTCCTCTCTGCTGAGGAACATCCTGACTTGGCCAGAGAGCGAGCCGCGTCAGCGTCGCCTTGGAGGTCTGTTTCTCTTCGGCGGAGGCTGGGAGTACTGGAGCTTTTTCTTTGACCGACCGAAGTGGGGACCGAGATCTTTCGCAAGCTGGGCTCGGTTAAACGCCTGCGGTTTCTCCCTGACTTAGGGACAACAGCCTTTGGGGAAATGAAAAAAGGGTTGAAGGGAACGGTCTCACAGATCTGTGGTGGTGGAGAAGAAGGAAATGCTTTTGGAAGATAATGAAACTGGAGAATTAACGAGGATCGGTGTGTATAAAGGGAAAAGGAAAGAACATAGGGAATTGTTTTGACAGGTGGAGGGTCCCGTAGAGGAATAGATTCTATTCTATTCTATTCTATTCTATTCTATTCTCAGACGAGTAGACAGTCAGATCTGATTCTTTTTATTTGCTACATTTGTAGATGTGTCAGAGGAAACACATTAAACCTGGAAGGACGCTTGTTCAAAATCTCTAAGGAACAGGAAGCTTAGTCGGGGAGTGGAAGGGCAACAGCTATGATTCAATAAATCTATATTGGGAGGAGGAGTTATAAATCAATTGTCCTTTCTTGGTAGAAACACGCTTAGTTTATTCTTGCAATTTTTTGCATGAGTGCTGAAGCATGTGAGGATTGTTACCCTCCTGTCAAAATAATAGCAAGCCTTGTAACATCTTAAAGACTAATTTATTACAAATGTTTTTTGTGAACTGTAGTCCATCAGATGTCATTCCATCCATGTAATTTATTTGCATTGGTAAGGTTGAAATCATAATCCGTCATGAACATTTTTGCATGTACAGTAGAAGGTTCTGGGTGTAATTTCTCATATTTCCACTTAAAAGGGGTCTGTGGGTACCAGCTAACCCAGAGGGCTTCCTGCCCAAGACAAGATTATAACTCTTGGTCTCCTGGTCTCTGACCTGGTACTTTTAAAGTTAAGAAACATGGCCTTGAATGGTCAGGGGATATGACACAAGCCAAAAGAGCATCTGTAGTCCAAAGACAATCCCACTACTGTACACAGGGACCTAACAGCACAGTCACTGCAAAGAAAGCACTTCAACCCATTTAAACAGGGAAAAAATGATGGCACTAAATCCACCCTCACATTTTGCCTAGATTTGAAGCCAGTTTTATTTTACAGTTGTTAGCTGATGTTTGCAGTACAAGCCTTTTGAAAGACATCTGGTACAAAACCCTCAGTGATTCTTTAGTATAGAAGGAGGGAGTTGGTAAAAACATTCTGACTTTTTGTCCTATAACAATAACAACAATAAGCGATTGTTCCGGCTGCAAAACATTCAAGGTGAGTATTCAAGTGATAAGATATGCTAATTTAATCCAGAGTGGAGAGTCTTGCTGAGTCACAAGGTATAAAGTCTACCTTTATTGGCTGAGCTGGTTGGGGTTGCACAAGGTTATAATTCAGCAAAAGAGCCTTTTTACTTTTATCTTTAAATTGACCTTTTTTTTCAGAACTAACTATGTCATTTCAGTTCCATTCCCCTGCATGATACCTGGTTTTTTTTAATCAAAGGTGTCTTGCCTGTAATACTTTATTTAATGAGTTGGATAGGGGAAACCTATCTGTTAAAATTGTTCTCTTTTTATTGTCATTGATCACTTTGCTTTTACCCATTCCATTTCCTACAAGAATGGCTTGATTATGGTGGATCTAATGAAATGTAGTACTGTATTTAAAGTTAGAAGGCTGCAAACCACTCAGTTCGTCTCTTAGTTAAACTATGAACTTGTCAGTTACCATACCTAACTCTGGGTAATACTTAAATTGAGTCTGACCTGTTAGTATTTGGCTGGGAGACTTCTGGGGGATCTTAAAGCTATAAGAAAGACTGGGGTATGTGGGAGGGGGGTGTTGTTTATTTGTTTGCTTTTTGCAGAAGGTGGCAAAGACAAATCATTTCCAATGTACAGGTTGTCCTCAAGAATCGAATTTAGTTCATGAGTTCATTTTGTACTGTGTTTTGGATTCAGCAGGAAGGTGTGGAGGAGGCAATAAAGGTGACCTATTTTACAGGTTTGCTTGAAAGAATGACCTCTGGAATGTTGCATATAGTCCTCCAAGTTCAAGAAGATGCTTCCTAGATACCATTTATCATTTGCTTTTTCCCTAGGTTTGTGATACGATGTCAAAACTATTTATTTTTGTTTCCATTCCAGCCACTGAACAGAAAATGGAAAACATTTCCAAGGAGAAGAATCCAGAACAGATACAACTACACAGGAAAGTGGGAGGGATACCCCAAAAGAATAATTCCCAGGAAGAAGAAGCTTCTAAAAACCAGAAGAGAACGGGGAAACAAAATGCCAAAAACTCTGGATCCAGAAGAATAAAGTCCATCGTGCCGCAAGGAAACTCCAAGGAACAGCCAATTCAGCAAAGAAAGCGAGTGTCCAAGAAACAGCATCCGTGTCCTGATTGTGGGAAAATCTTCAACAGAACCTCTGCTCTCAGCGCCCATCAGAGAGTCCACACAGGCGAAAAGCCCTACAAGTGCACTGAATGTGAGAAGAACTTCAGCAAGAGTTCACACCTCATCGCTCACCAGAGAATCCACACAGGAGAAAGACCCTACACTTGTTTGACTTGTGGGAAAAGTTTCAATCACTCTTCCCATGTGATTATCCACCAGAGAACTCATACAGGGGAGAAACATTACAAGTGTTTAGAATGTGGGAAAAACTTCCGATACAGTTCTGATCTCATCAGGCACCAGATTGAACATGCAGGCGAAAAACCCTTCCGGTGTTCGGACTGTGGGAAATGTTTCAATCGGACCTCCAACCTCCTTATCCATCAGCGGATACACACAAAAGAGAAACCCTACAAATGCCTTGAATGTGGGAGAAACTTCAGTTACAGCTCAGTCCTTATCAGGCACCAAAGAGTGCATACCTCTGAGAAGCCTTTTAAATGCCCTGACTGTGGGGAAGGTTTCCATGTGAACACAAGCCTTCTTACACACCAGAGAATACATACAGGAGAGAAACACTATTCATGCTCGGAGTGTGGGAAAAGCTTCAGGTGGATATCACATTTAAATAGGCATCAGAAGATCCACACTGTAGAAAAGTCTATATAAATTTGAACATTAGGAATTCACCTATGAGTTCCAATTTAAGATGCACTCTCTTTTTGGATGCTATATTCTTCTTTATTCCTCTAACCAAGATAAAATACATTATTTTTATCTAATGTTTAGATTATAAGCAACCTATGTACAAGAGCATTCTTTTATAAAGTAAAGTTAATAAGCCTATCATTTCCCTGCTCAACCCGATTTTTTAAAAAGATTATTTTAATTAAAGAGAAACTAATAGGAAGCTGATAAAAGAAACTAATGGAAAGCTGATATTTTTTATTTTAATTAAAAAGAAACTAATGGAAAGCTGATATTTTTCAAAGCACCAACTGCTAGTAATGTTCTTATTTGATGGAATGCTGTGGGTCTTATAAAAACTGTGAGAATTCTTAGAAAATAAATATACTGAGAGGTTGTAACCTAATGTTTTGCCTGGACATGGGCTCAATCACTTCTCTTCCACCCTCAGTCAAACATGCTAAATTGTGATGTCCCGTAGAATATCTTGGGGGTTAAAATATAGTCTTTCTAGAAATGGATATTCCATGAAGGTCCATATTTACCATGGGAATTTAGAATTGTAAGCGCCCAGATTCATTTGGTTGAGTTGGGTGGCTATAGAAATTGAATGAATGAATGAATGAATGAATATGTTTTTATAATTTCAAATGGACATACTGGATTGAAATCTAATGAACTCTATGCACTAGGCCAGTGACGGCGAACCTTTTAGAGACCGAGTGCCCAAACTGCAACCCAAAACCTACTTATGCATCGTTGGGTGCCAGGTGGGTGTGGCCCATTGGCTGGGCGTGGCTGCGGTGGTAATGGCAGACTGGGTGGGATTAAAAAGTTCAATCAATCAATTCCAATTTTGCAAGATCTTTTTTTTCCCCGCGAGAAGTTGAAATTGACTGATTGATTGAACCTTTTTTTTTTGTACACAGTGGCGGAGGCCTAAAGTGAAAAGGTTTTATAAAACCCAGCTGAAGGCCTAGGACTGGGGTGACAGCACGCGTGCCCACAGAGAGGGGTCTGAGTGCCGTCTGTGGCACCCGTGCCATAGGTTCGCCACCACTGCACTAGGCAATTTATCAATTTACCTAGAGTGTTTGATAATTTACTGAATATTTAGTTACCGTACATACATATTGATACATATTTATGCAATTTCCTTATCTGCACTTTTCTGTCTGAGGGCAAAATATAAAGTGTAAGAAATAGTAAGGGAAATAAATGAGAAGGACACAAAAGAAAAGCTAACTAAACTTCATTTATACCTCTTCATAGCTTCCTATCTTTGCAAGCTGATGGTTAATCCTGAAAGGCAGAAGCTATCCACCACCTCAGTATCTTAATGAATTCTAGAACGGTTGCTGTATCTTATCATTCATTTAGTCTTTGAATTTGATTCCAGTCCCAGTTTTTTTCTTGATTTTTATTACTAGAGCTTGCAGATCATTTGCACTTTCAGCTGTCAGAGAAGTGTTATCAATATAGTCAGAGCATTAATGCCCCTTCCTCCAATTTTGAATTTTAGCTTCAGAAAAACTCAAATATTTCAAGGTTGATGTAGACATGCCAACTCTTTTAGTAGAATTAGTGGGACTAAGCTCTCCTGCAAGTCCCCTGGACTGCAAGGCGATCAAACCGGTCAGTCCTAGAGGAGATCAACCCTGACTGCTCTTTAGAAGGCCAGATCCTGAAGTTGAAACTCAAGTACTTTGGCCACCTAATGAGAAGGAAGGACTCGCTGGAGAAGGGCCTAATGCTGGGAAAGATGGAGGGCAATAGAAGAAGGGGACGACAGAGAATGAGGTGGCTGGATGGAGTCATTGAAGCAGTAGGCGTGAACTTAAATGGACTCCAGAAGATGGTAGAGGACAGGAAGGCCTGGAGGAACGTTGTCCATGAGGTCCCGATGGGTCGGACATGACTTTGCAACTAACAACAACTACGACAACAACAAAGTTCTCAGAACAGAATATCAATTTTCAGTTTTAAGTTATTTTACTTACCCAGACTCAGACTGCCATTGAACTAGTTTCTGCCTCCAAACATAAGGAAGTATTGGGATGGGAAACATGCCAAGGAACCTCCAAGAATTTACTGCATTGCTTCCAAGATAGAGAAGTCATTGTAAACACAGTCCTTTGCACCTGCCTTGCTCTGGAAAACACAAATTGCTGAGGGAATGTAGAATCCCCAATTTCAGGAAAAAAAATCCTAAGAATCCCAGCTATACATCTCTCAGCAAATAGTGTAATATGCAAAGTCCAAGCCATCCAGGAGCCTTAGATTAACAAACATTACTCAGATACCAGTGCATTTTAATACAGGTAGAAATCTGTCTCCTAGCCACTATTGGGAGATAAAAGATAGGATCAGAGAGTGCCTAAACAATCAATATAAAAATTAAACTGGAGATTCATGTCTCTGTCTCTCCCTTCCTCTTTTTTTTGAAAAGTTCAAGATGTTCAACAAATCCTTAGACAGGTATTTTCATACAGGGACAAATGAGTGAAAAAATATGATTTATTATGGAAACTTCCAATGTCCATCATAATGTTTTCCTTGGAATACAGTATTCCTTGGAATACTGTTTGGAAATCAACAAAAGCAGCAAAAGTGCTGATATGTAGCATATTATTCAGCCAAATGATATAAAATGAAACATTGGCCATCTATGACACTTGGAATACTACATCCAGTTTTGGTCACCAGAATGTAAAAAAGATGTTGAGACTCTAGAAAGAGTACAGAGAAGAGCAACAAAGATGATTAGGGGACTGGAGGCTAAAACATATAAGGAACTGCTGGAATTGGGTATGTCTAGTTTAACGAAGAGAAGGACGAGGGGGGACATGATAGCAGTGTTTCAATATCTCAGGGGCTGCCACAAAGAAGAGGGAGTCAAGCTATTCTCCAAAGCGCCTGAAGGCAGGACAAGAAGCAAGGGATGGAAACTAACCAAAGAGAGAAGCAACCTAGAACTAAGGAGAAACTTCCTGACAGTTTGAACTATTAACCAGTGGAACAACCTGCCTCCAGAAGCTGTGAATGCTCCAACACTGGAAGTTTTTAAGAAGAGACTGGACAGCCATTTGTCCAAAATGGTATAGGGTTTCCTGCCTGAGCAGGGGGTTGGACTAGATGACCTCCAAAGTCCCTTCCAACTTTTACTTTTACTATTACTATTATTATTATTATTATTATTATTATTATTATTATTATTATTATTATTATTATTATTATTATTATTATTATTATTATTATTATTAATTGGCTCATCCACCTGCATAAAGTTTGCAAATTCCATTTACTTATCTGACTGGATGGTAATTTGACAATTGCCTTTCTTCCTTTTTTAATATTTTTATGTGGTTAAGGTGCTGACCTAGAAATCAGGAGACTGACTGGGTAACTTTGGGAAGGTCACTCTCGGTCCAGCCCACCTCACAGGGTTTTTGTTGCAGGGAAATAGGAGGTAGGAGTATATATGCTTGCTGTTTTGAGTTATATATTAAAATGGCAGGATAAAAATATAATAATATAGGGATAATAAGTGCAAGGCATCAGACACCAACAATCTTTGATATGCTGAGATTTTTATTTTACCACAGGGATGCTTCCCAAAATAGCTCCTTCTAGTGTGGATGGAAACTTCCTTATAATTCTGTCACTTTTTAACATCCTAGATAATACATATATAAAATATATTTTATGCTATATATACTATGTTTATAATATTAATATATCTATATAGTAATACAATATTATTTTATAATATAATACAATAATCCCTTTTCACCCTTATGGGTGGTCTGTGTCTTCCTCAAACTTGGATCGTCTACCAGAGACATGGAAGTTTGAAGGTTCTGCTTAGAATTTTAACTGTTCCTAGCACTGCACTCTTTTGGACAGAGAGCTCTGAGGTTGTTCCTGGAATCCGTTGGATCCACTCCCCCAACTTAGGAGTCATCACCTCAGGTGCTCCTACCACCATTGGGACCACTTTGTTCTCCCTTCTCATTAGGTCTGCTGTTGTAATAGCACCCATCAGTTCCAGGTTCTCTTGTCTTCTCCATATATGGTTTTGTTCCAGTAGCCTAACTGTCAGATTCTCCTGGTTCCTCACACACACGTAATATTCAGCAGACTGGATAGTATTTAGTAAATAGAACTTATAGTCCAATGAAAAAATAATGTGGATTTCTGAATAATCAGCATAATTTTAGAGAAGCCATGGCGGAAATTATGTTTTTGAATGTAGTAGTACCCTGCCAGTAAATAGCAATAAAGCTCCCTGCAAATTAAAAACAATCATTGTAACGTGGAACTGGCAAAACAATTTATCTTGTCGTGCTAGCTTTTTATAGTACTTGCCAGGATGTGTTTTTGTTTTTTTTTACTCCTAGCTTTGAAGAAAAAGGCGTTGGTAACTTAAAAACCTTCTCCTGGGCGGCACCTAAAATAAGTGTTTTTCGGCGTAGAAGCAGCCTCTTTTCCATCTTGCCAGGAGAGGGCTCTGCTTACTGTTTCCTAGGAAGTATCTGGGCTTTTCCATTTCGCTCCGCTAAGCCTGGAGGATGAACTTCCTGTAGTAAATAGATTTGCCGCCATCGCGAACGCTGCGAGATAGACAGGACCAAGATAAGTGGCCCGGCGGACATCAAATCAGCACTTCATCACTCGACCAGAGTGAAGACTTATAATCAATTCCGAGATAACTCCGAATAAACTGGCAGCGGGTCAGGTAAAAGAAAGACTGTAAGGTGGAATGTAGTGAAGAAATACTCATCGCAGAAAAACCTTTTATGCTAGGGTCCCCACCGGGGTCGACTTGTATCCGGGATTTTTCAACCTGCCGTTCTGCTTAGGCCAATCTGCGATTGGAACTTGCACTCTATAAAATTATTTTTTTTATTGATATTAATGAATTAACCTGAAGCACAGAGTTCTATTTAATGGCGCGAATTGAAAGATGAGCCCTTCTTTTC